GTTCGACAAGGTGTTCTCGTTGACAGTTTTGAAAGCATTCCGGCTTAAAACAAGCACAGCAAAATGCCAGCCTCTTTCAATCCTGTTCACCTCTGTTCGAATCTCACTGATACCTACAAAACCTGAGGGTTCACAAATTGTTATTTTCAATTCACAACTGACAATGAGTAATTTTGTTAGATCGATCTCTTTTCTTCGCAAAATAAGTACGTGGTTCTGATTTTGGATTAAATCATCATTTGCGATAGGAATGCTTTCTAAGCGCTTCTTGAACGGAGGAGTCCGCAGTTTCGAAGAATAAATCCAAATGATCAGATAGACCTCTTTTTGTCGAAATTTTAGTGAAAATATTGTATCTAATTACGCTTGTTTACATTGAATCACATTGGCGATTCTACAACAACTTTCTGACCGAATAATACCAAATAGCCTATATCTTTACAGCCAGCCTCAGTTTCTGGGACGAGTGGGATGTGGGTAAACCTGACTACTCTGCGCTAGGAAGTCTGTAAGTTGATTGTGTGTTCACTTATACTCCTTTCCAAGTAGATCATTCGCTCTTTCTACAAAAGAAGCAGTATAGAAGTCTGATTGCAGTCAGGGCAGTCTGTCAGAACTGTTTCCTTTCACTGATCTCGATATAAAGCGCCCAGGAATCACACCAGTCGGTAGATGTGAACAAACTTTCAGCGAGGTGACTTCTTTAATTGAGAGTTTAAAGATATGCTTCATCGTATTTGCTACACCTGCACTGGATAGATTCTGTTCGAAGAGCTTCTGGTTCATGGGAACGTTAACGTGCTGATCGCGCTTATCAAGCAACATGGCACCCCTATTCTAACACTAGGCGCTAGAGCGCATAGAATGTTTAACAAGCCAACGGGCAAGATTGTTCTGTTCTTAACATGGTAGAAGAGAATGCACGGTGTTTGTAAGTGAAGCCGTTCAATTTGAAGCTTGGCTGCTTTGTTTTTCTTCTGCAGTCGGAGGCGAATACGCGCATAATTCAGAGTAATCGCAATAACACGCAAATGGTTACGCCTCCTCGTCAAAGCCTCACTTATTACCTTTGTTGGTATCGACTCATTCGCAGGCATTTTTATCGCTTACCAGCTGGACAGGGCCTGTTTTTGATTTGGCCGCACTGACGTCATCGCTTATGGCCTGGTCCACTCGCGTCCTCTGGGACGGTTCTAGGCGAAAGAATATTGTTTCTACCTGAGCCTCAGGACTGAAGAAGCGTTTGGGTTGGTGCGATGATTACCTCGTGCAAAAGCTAAGATAGGGTGTGAGTTGAATGTCCAATTGACTCACCCTTTTCGGTTATCCTGAAGCTTAAGTCACAAAACTGTATGTTCTCGGCTAAGAAACCTTTCCTAAGCGCAATTATGGGCTAACCTTATACAGTGCGTTTCATAATTATAACTTCACACTCAAATTTTGCTTTTTCGGAAGAAGCAATCAATAAAGATTTTTCTAGCATCATGAACGGATCCCCCAGCATGAATAACCTAAGTATTCTTTTTTGGCAGCAGCTGCATTTTTCTGAACTTCTTAAGAACAGTTTATCGGTTTTTGCACCGTTTCATAACTGTAAGGTCACCATGGGAAAGTGAACAATTGTTCATGGAGAAGAAACTTCGTCTTGCGAGATACTTATAAAGGTAAGCATGTGTAGGAAATGCATCTTTAAACCTGACTGTCAACATGGATCGTGGTCGTGTGCTTTCCTCTGATTAAAAGCCTCAAATTCGGGCTCTTCATGAAGCTGGGCTCAGTAAGCAAGTCTTCTCCAGGCAAACAGGGAGTCCCTCTGCTCCATTCAAAGATTTCTGGAGAGCCCTGATGTCCTCAGATGTAACACCAGCTGTGGGCGCCTACGCAATGTTACTGCCCGTGACGAGCGGAAGATTCCGAGGGCTGTTTCCAACAGTACGTCCTCCTCGAACCAGATCCAATCGGAATTAAACCTCTCTGTGTCGAAAACTACAGTCTAGAGAGCAGTAAGAAGATGCGAGAACATCACCAGGCAAGCTATGGAGAAGATGCCACGAATCACCGACGCCTCAGAGAAGCTCGACTCGAATTTGCAAAGATAAATCTAGGAAGAGATTGGGCAAAGGTAGGCCTGCATCAAAATCTCACCATACAGCTGAATAATTTCCATTCACGTTGTCTTTTCGGATGAAAGGAAATTCAACTTGGACGGTCCTGACGGAAACAAGTACTACTGACGCTATTTGAGG